ACAGAGTTTTATGGATAGAAGTTAGATCAAAAGAAAGGCTTTGGGCTTGATTGTGAAACATATCTTATTGGGCCAAAGGAAAAAAAAATGGCTAGGGCACTGGAAAAGATAATGAAAATACTAATCCAGTTAAGATTGGGGCTGAGAGAGAGAGGAACACGTGCTGGAGATGTATTGAGGACGATGGCGATGAAGAAAGCATTGATTTTTGGAAAGGAATGGCAAGTGATGAGGGGAGCTTTGCTAAAGGGAGTGGGCAAGAGGAAAAAGGAAAATAAAAAAGGAGCGGATGCAAAACAAGATCTTACGCAACTGTGTACAAGAAATCCAAGTTGACTACAGAGGCGATGATGGAAAATAGAAGAGGCAGACAGAGAAGAAGAAACGAGTTGGTGGAGGCAAAGCCAATTTTCTTCCCAAATCCAAGTAAACAAGTTGCAGGTGAGTCTTTGAATGATAATGGCATCATTAATTGCAATAATTGTGTGAAGTCTAGAAGTGAGGCAGATATAGTAAGAGGAATTTGGGATTTTGCGAAGGCAATTGAGGTTGAGGCACATGGAGGTGATAATATGGTTTTAAAAAGCCTTGAATTAATGGAAAAAAGAGATAAGGAGCAACAGAAAAAGAAAATGTCAGAGAGAATTGAGAAAGAAGGTAGGGTAATAAACAACTCAAAATGATTCTTTCGTCTTTCAGTATCAGGGGATTAGGAGGTAGGGAGAAAAAAGGGGAAATTAAAAGGATAGTTCTAAAAGAAAAGGTGGACATGCTGTTAGTATAGGAAACAAAATTGAGTTCAGTAAACAGAATATTATGTAGAAAGTTGTGGGGCTTGGACAATTTTAAGTGCGTATTTAAACCAGCAGATTGTATGTCTGATGGGTTATTAACTATATGGTGCTCCAAGTTTTTCCAGAAGGAAAAGACGTTTGAAGGAGCAGGTTTTATTGGTGTATTTGGATATTAGGGATTAGAAAACCTACCATGCTACATTGTTAATGTCTATTCAGCTTGTGAGCTATTAAAAAAGAGACAGTTGTGGGAAGAATTGGGATATTTAATCAGAAATTGGGGAGGAAATTGGTGTTTGGGGGTGATTTTAATGCTACAAAGTCAAGCTCTAAAAGGAAAGGATGCAAAAGTGCTCAAACAGAAATAAGAAATTTTGTAGGTTTTATTGAAATAAATAATTTGCATGATTTGCCTCTTATTGGGAGAAGATATACTTGGTATCAGCCGAGTGGGGTTGCAATGAGTCACTTAGACAAATTTTTGTTCTCTAATGAATGGATGAATAGATGGGATGGAATGAAACAATGGGGCCTGAATAAAGGAGTTTCAAATCAATGCCCAGTTTTGGTAAAAAACATAATCATAGATTAGGGACCTAAGCCATTTCAATTTTTTGATGCATGGCTCCTTGCCCCAAATTTCAAAGAAATGTTCTCAAAGCACTGGGCCTTTATCCAGGTAGAAGGATGGGGTGGATACAAGTTAAAAGAAAAGCTAAAAAGTATGAAAGACTTTTTTAAAAAGTGGACTATGAAGCAATATAGAGGGCTTGACAGCAAAATTGATGCCACTCGAGAGGAGATTGCTAATCTTTATTTGAAAGGGGAGGTATAGTTACTTTCAACTGAGGAGATGAATAAGAGAAATTTCAAATTGGTGGAACTATGGCAGCTTTTACAAAGTAAGGAAAGCATGCTCAAACAATAATCAAGAAAGAACTGGCTGAGGGAGGGGGACGAAAACACATAGTTTTGCCACCAATGTGTCAAGGGGAGATGGAGAAAAAATGAGATCAACAATATTCAGATTGGAGGAAAAACATGAAGGAGGTGCAAGGAATAAAGGAAGGGATAATAGAATTCTTCAAGAATATGTTTACATAAGAGAAATGGTCAAGACCCACATTAAAGAATATTAATTTCCAGCATATTTCAACTGAAGACAACGACATGCTGATTGGAAAATTTAGTGAAGAGGAGATAAAGCAAGATTGGAAAATTTAGTGAAAAGGAGATAAAGCAAGCTGTCTAGGACTGCAGTAGCACAAAAGCTCCTGGACCTTATGGGTTTAATTTTGGAGTTTTGAAAGTAATGTGGGAGACAATTAAAGATGATATGATTCGGTTTGTGGAGGACTCCCAAAAGTACGATAAATTAGTGAAAAGGTCAAATGCATCCTTTGTGTTATTGATTCCAAATAAGGATAACCTTGTCAAACCTTAAGACTATAGACCTATTTCTCTAATCAGTTGCATGTATAAGGTGATAGCTAAGATGCTGGCAAATAGACTAAGACAGGTAATGGATGGGATAACTGGTATGGAACAATCTACTTTCATAGGAAGAAGACAGTTGATGGACGGAGTTGTGGTGGCAAATGAGACAATTGATGAGGTAAACAAGAAGAGGAATAGATGCATAATTTTCAAAGCAGATTTCAAGAAGGCGTCTGACAAGGTGAGTTGGGACTTCTTGATGTTCATGCTAGAAAAAATGGAGTTTTGCAAAACTTGGAGAAATTGGATCCTGGAATGTCTTAGAACGAATTTGGTATCGATGCTTGTGAACAGAAGTCCTACTAAAGAATTCTCAATGAGCAGAGGGCTGAGGTAAAGGGATCCACTCTTCCCATTTCTGTTCTTAATTGTGGTAGAGGGACTCAATGGTATC